CAGCGATCTTTTCTTTTGGATCTTTGGCCTGCCACACTTTGTATTATTCTACTATGCATTTTCCATTGTGAGAAAATGGAAGGGGGGATTGTATGGAGTTAGATGCAATGTAGCCATAACAAAATTCCTTCTAGAAAGCAAAGGTCATCCTTTGTCTCTGCACCTGACTGGAATTGGATGGGTGGAACTGCCAGCATGGAAATGGGAGATTGGACCATGGGATGGACTTGTGGGTGTGGGGTCAAGATCTTGAACTTTCAACTAGGTGGGGAAAACTGGGAAGCTTTCAGATTCGGATTTTCCCACATGTGCCAACATGGCTCTCTTAATAAATTGGAACTTTAAGCAATACTTTGCCCTGGACTCTGATTTACTTTTGGATGCTATTTGGAACCCTAACACTGGTTTTGAGACAACATGCTTTGCCTCAAACTCTTTGGAATTGAAAAGGAGACATGTTTCGTCCTGTGTCTAACCCTGCTGAGCCAAAGAAAGTATTCAAGACACAGCATGACTTTTAATCCTGGAAGAGGAATCTCACCCGAACTTTTTTCTTCTAGATGGGAAGCCAGAGTAGTCATCTTCATCGACGCCTTCATTTCAAACTTCTCTTTGAAGGCCAGAGCTCTTTCATCGTCGTCGAAAAGGCACTCTATGACTGACCAAGGGGTCGTGTGCAGCTCCAAGTCCCCAGAGACGGGGTGGTGTTTTACCAAGAGATACCTAAATTCCCAAATATGATCTAGGAAGAAGGAGAAAAACATCCAGATCAGTGATGCTTTGGACAAAATGCTCTACAGCAGGAGTCTCCAAGCTTGGCCACTTTAAGACTTGTGGACTTCAACTCCCAGAGTTCCTCAGCTGGAGTTGAAGTCCACAAGTCTTAAAATGGCCAAGCTTGGAGACCCCTGCCCTACAGTTCTTTCAAAGATAAATTAACAGTTAATAAAGGAGATGCTAGCTTCAAAATCCTTTTCTCTCTCTCCTTTCAAGAGACTGCCTAAACAAGCCCCTGTGGTATTTTTGTCATTCCTTTTCAGAAGTGGTTTGCCGAACCCAAATGGCTTTGTGCCAAAGGCAGGACTAGAACTCACTGCCTCGTGGTGGTTCCCAGTGTGGGGAACCTTAATTGCTGCACCAACTGGCTCAAAATCCTATCCCATCTTAAAGTACAGGTAGTCCTCGGCTTAGGACTACAACTGAGCTCGGAACATCTGTTAAGTGAGCTCTGCCCCATTTTACAACCTTCCTTGCTATGGTTGCTAAGTGAATCACCACAGTTAATAACATAGTTTTTAAGTGACTCTGGCTTTCCCCCATTGGCTTTTCTTGTCCATGAGGTCACAAAAGGGAAATCGCATGACTCCAGGGACACGGCAACCGTCATAAATATGAGACAGTTGCTAAGAATCGGAATTTTGATCGCATGTCTGTGGGGATACTGCAACAGTCGTACATGTGAAAAATGGTCGTGAGTCGCTTTTTTCAGGGCCGTCGTAACTTTGAACAGTCACTAAATGAATTGTAAGTCGAGGATTACCTGTGGTAACTCGTATTTTGCTACTTGTGAAAATAGTAATTAAATTATATTTTGGGAATGCAGAGTTTCTACACAGCTTGAATAACCAAAGCCATGTGGAAGAAGCAATATTACAGCTCCCACTCCTAATTAAGGGCCTAGATCAGGGATCTCCAAACTTGGCATCTTGTGGACCTCAACTCCCAGAATTCCTTATGTTGGCTGGAGAATTCTGGGAGTTGAAGTCGACAAGTCTTAAAGTTGCCAAGTTTGGAGAGCTTTGGTTTAGGCCAATGTATCTCAATCTTGGCTACCTCTTGATCTACAGGCATGACCCTAAGAATGCAGAATCTGTTGGAGCGTGTTGCTATATAATAAGGTTAATGAAACAAAAGAACGAAATAATAATAATAATAACTGAAATAAAATCCTGGGTATTTGAGTCATTGCTTAAAATTCTGGGAGTTGTTTTAACATGAATGAACTTTTCACATTCTGGTGCGCCTGCCTTTGTCCTCCTTTTGAGCGGTCTGTTGATGAAAAGCTAATTCGTGTTAAAACAAAGGATGATTGTCCTGCATTCCCTTGCTTCTTGCATGGCAGTGTGACACAGCCATAGACCTAAAGTCATTTTAAAATGCTGAATGATCGTCTTTACCTTTTTTCCTCTGAAGCTGAAGACACTGAGTGGCTGCATCACCCCAAACGACCAAGGCATAAGGTTGGCCCTTGATTTGTTCCACTGTTAAGACGATTTTACTTTGCTTTTCTCCTTTAAAACTATACACGGATTCTAAGGTTGAACAATGGGAACAATTAGCATGATTTGTTTCCTTCTGTGATGGTACACCCCCCCTTCCCTCTTTCCTGGTAAGGACGGGCCAGTCTTGTCACTGGGAACTTGGTTTTCACTACACCAGCGGTCGGCAACCAGTGGCTCTGGAGCTGCATGTGGCTCTTTCATCCCTCTGCTGCGGCTCCCTGTCACCGGTCGACTCCACAATTGATAGGGCTTTCCGTTAGGACAGGTAGAAGAAAAAGGAGACTATGCTAGGAGGAGATTCTATGGTGGGGGAACCGGACTTTCTACATGGTATGTGAAGGAATGAGATTCAAGGCTTTTGATGGTGGTGCTTTGGATTTCTTTAATAGGCAGAGGGAAGAGGTAGCTATACTTTCTTCAAATTCATTAACAGATTCTAGATGTTACATTTTCAAAACAATTAAATTTCAAAATCAGGATTCCAGTGAATGTTTATAATTAGGTTTTCAGTCTATTTAACGGGTAACTGATAGGTTTCCTTTAACAGTGGCAGAAACCTTGCAGCATTCTGAGGCTCTCCATTTAAGACTGGGAAGCAAGAAGTTAATGTGGAGAGCAAGAAATGAAAAGGTCCCCAAAATAATCTATAATTCTTGACACCCCTGATTTCATGAAATCAAAACATCTCACTCTAGGAAGTTAATTATGAATGTTAACAAAGGCTGATGCTAGATACAAATTCCTTCATATCACTAGCATCACATCAATCCTCAGAAAAGGATGACTGTGAAATCAGACGACCACTCAAGAATCTAAGCTGCTGGTTTTGTCAAGAAGGAAACATCAGGTGGTCTCAAATCACCTCATGACCTTCTTTTTACCAACCAGATTTCAGATACAGGGTACTCTGCTATAACTCCTTTTTTTCTCCTTGAGGTAGACTTGGAAAGGATATTTGCACTGTCAACTCCTAACATTGCCATAGTGAGAGAAGGGGGTGGGTAGTGCATTCCACGCATACCTTAGGCTAAAGTCGGCTCTCAAGAGAATTGCAGCAGGCTTGGGAGGGGTGCACATCATTGGGGAATGTGATTTATGACACAGACTGAGGGGAGGGAAAGAACAGGGGTAAAGTTCAGCTATAACTCAAACAAAGCTTAGATGTGACTGCGAAAAGGCCTTGTCTAATGGTGCTCCTAATAAATGACTAGTTTTGTATTGAAACTTGGCTCGATACTCATGAATCAATTAGGGCATTTTTAGGAAACCTGACATGCACGCTTAATAGGAAGACAGGATAATATCCCTCACAAAGGGCTGGACCCAAGTGCTTGCTTGGTGTTTTTCTCAGAGAAGGAAAGCAGGAAAAAGGGAATGACAGAATCTATGAAGCTTCTTGGATGAGAAGCAAAACACCTTCAAAAGAAAAAAACCCAGAAACTCCAGTTGCCTCTTGAAAAAGCACCTTCGGGACAACCATGACCTGGATTCCTGAGAATCTCTGTAGACATACAAAATCCAGAGTTTTCAGCAATTACATCTCTAATATATCTTTCCACCGCCATGCCATACACCAAATTTGGAGCCTTCAAGAACTTCCTGGATTAGATACCCAGCTCACCTCTCAACACTGCAATGTTGATCACTCTCAACACCGCATGCACCAAAGTATCTGGTTTGAGCCAACTTAGAAGGACACGCGGAACGTGGTCCAGGCTCTGCCTTGGCCTTGGAGGGAGAGCGTGAAGAGGGCTGTGTTTTGTACAAACGTAGGTCAGCAAATCCTGGAGACGACGACAGTCTACTATATGGGAGGCTGGGGAAGATAAAAGAGATTATAATTGATCTCACCTTTGGCTACGGAGGTTACGTACATTGCTTCTGTTGGCGGTTCTACACCAAATATTACTAGCAGGTGGAATTACCGTATAAGATGCAATTCCCTCCACCCCCAAAAGAGGGTGAAAATTCTTGTGTGGGGGTTTTTTTTTCCTTTTCCCTCTGCCTTTCCTTTTCTATTGTTATGTGATTATGTTGTCTATGTAACAAAATAAAATAAAATTATATATATATAAAAAAGAAGTAAATATACAATACCAAAAGCAGGTTTTTCAAAGTGGTAGGTAGTTCAGCAGAGGAGAGAAGTTTCACTTTCAGTTTTAGTTTCAGATATCAGCACAGCATGCAGCTTTAATACAGAACAAGCCACGCCCAGGCTCCTTGCTGTCTCCTCCCTTGTTGCTCACACAGCAAATACTGTTTGTTTCCAAACTGCCCTCAACTCTCTCACACACTGACAGGACGCTAGCCAGATGAATACCATGGATGCTGGTAGGCAGAGGCAGATCTTTTTTTCTTATTTTCCTCCCCAAATACTAAGGTGCGTCTTATATACTTGGGTATATAACTGTCAGTTTAGGGCTTCCTCTACTACTGAGTCTTTGAAGAACTAGACTTCAAAGTCTTATCCGTTCTCTCTGTCTCTTCTAATCTTTTTGTTTGTATCATGTTTTTCGGAGTATAAGACGCTCTGAAGTATAAGACACACCTAACTTTTGGGGAGGAAAACCAGGGGGGAAAAATCTGCTTCTACCTCCCAGCAATTCGCCTCCTTGCAACAAACAGCAAACAGTACAGACAATATACACTGTTTGTAGTGTTACATTTCAGACTATACTTGTACAGATGCTGTTAAAATTGATGTGCTTTCTGGAAGTATAGTTATTCTCTGCTATTTAAGAGAAGATGCAATAGCACAGGGCCTCTTCAGATCAAGCATTTATTTTAAAAAGCTTCTTCATTTTGTTAAGCTGTCTAGAACAATAATAAAGCAGTCTTTAAAAATGTCTAATAATTTGAACATTCTCTAAGCATTTATAGTTATTGACTTGCCTTCTCGCAGCAAACAGCCTGATTCAGCACAAGAAAAAAAATCTGTTTCTGCCTCCCAGCAACTTGCCCCATGGAGCGAACAGCAAGTTTCACTTTCAGTTTAAGTGCCCCCTGATCATCAGCTTTCTTCAGGCTGCAGGGATTGCTATAGCCCATTGCAGCCTCCACAAGCCCCATTTTCCTGTTTGCTGCAAGGTGGTAAATTGCTGGGATGCAGAGGCCAAAGGGTGGGAGACGGTGGGTGGTTCCACATTCAGTGTATAAGACGCACCCAAATTTTCACCCTCTTTTAGGGGGGAAAGGTGCATCTTATACTCTGAAAAATACGGTAATTTTCATTGTGAAAGCTCTCATTATTATAGAATTTGAAGGGACGCGAGTACATGGCCCCTGTTCTAATCCTTTTCAATAAGCAGAAGGTTGACCCCATATCCATTTCCTCAACAGAAAGAGTAAATGTCCATGATCAACCACTGCCAAGGCTAAGAGGCTGGAGTAAGATAGTGGGATGAACAGCAGATAAAAAGAGATTTTACTGAGCCCCAGATGCATCTCATCATTAACAAATCCAAAGGTTAAGACTGCTTTTAGCCTTCAAACACTCCCTCTGTATTTATAGCCTTCAACTTACGACCACAATTGAGCCCAGAATTTCTGTGGCTAAACAAGATGGTTGTTGAGTTTTGCCCCTTTTAATATCTTTCTTGCCATCGTTGTTAATTGAATCACTGCAGTTGTTAAATTAAGTATCACAGGTTGTTAAGTGAATCTGGCTTCCCCATGCACTCTGTTGTCGTAAAATCACAAAAAGAGATCATTAGACTCCGGCCTAAATATGAGCTGTCTGCCAAATGCCTGAATTTTGATCACGTGACGATGAGGATGCTGCTATGGTCGTAAGTGTGAAAAATGGTTGTAAGTTACTTTTTTCTGTGCTGTTGGAACTTCGAGCAGTCATGAAACGAATAAACCATTTGAAGAACGGCTACAGGTTTTGGGTCTGGCTAGTCTAAAGGAAAGAAGAATTAGGGGTGACATGAGAGCACTATTTCAGGGGCTGCTACAAAGAAGAGGGGGTCAATCTATTCTCCAAAGTACCAGAGGGCAGGACAAGAAACAATGAATGGAAACTAATCACGGAGAGAAGCAACCTGGAATTAAGGAGAAACTTCCTAACAGTGAGGACAATTAACCAGTGAAATAAATTACCTCCAGAAGTTGTGGGTGCTTCATCACTGGAAGTTTTTAAGAAGAGACTAGACAGTCACTTTTCTGAAATAGTAGAGATTCTCCTGCTTGACCAGGAGGCTGGACTAGAAAACCTCCATGGTCCCCTTCCAGCTCTATTCTATTCTAAATTCTGTCTATCATTTGTTTAATTGGCTCAGAAAAATATATTTCTATTAATAAAAGCTGCAAGAAATTAATGGCTTAAAGAACAGTGAGTTAGAAATGAGACATGTTCCCTCTGCCTGGAGTTTGTCAATCCTCACCCTCTTTAGGATTAATAGCTGAACAGCTTCCAAGATTGACCAGTTTGGTTGTAAAAGTTGATTGCAGCATCATTTCTCCAACCCAACGGTTCTCGCAAACAACAACATCTGCAAGAAAAAGACAAAGGAGATTCATCAATGGAAAATGAGCTTGCCTTGGTGCCATTTGGTTTTGGGGCGTGTCACTCATGTCACTCCCCATTGTCCGTGCAGTTCTCAGAATATTTTTATTTTGCACTTTAAAAAAAAATCTGCACTTATGGAAGAGAACTTAGAAACATCAAGAATCTAGAAGGCATCTGAAAGTCAACAAGAACGTACATGGAATGGGTCTGTTTTAACCAGACAAAGATGTCAAATGTTCAAGAGGGTTGGGAAATGGCCTTCAAAACCATTGACCACTCCATTAGAATAGAGTAACAGAGTTGGAAAGGACCTTGGAGGTCTTCTAGTCCAACCCCCTGCTCAGGCAGGAAGCCCTACATCATTTCAGACAAATGGTTATCCAATCCAATTAAAAACTTCCAGTGTTGGAGCATTCACAATATCTGAAGGCAAACCATTCCACTGGCCAATTGTTTTCACTGTTGGGGAATTTCTCCTTATTTCTAGGTTGCTTCTTCCCTTGATTACTTTCTATCCATTGTTTCTTCCCTTGCTTTCAGGTGCTTTGAAGAATAGCTTGACTGCCTCCTTTCTGAGATATTGGAACACTGCTATCATGTCTTCCCTAGTCCTTCTTTTCATTAAACTAGACCTACCCAATTCCAGCAACTCTTCTTCATATGTTTTAGCCTCCAGTCCCATGATCTTTGTTGCTCTTCTCTATATCTTTCTAGAGTCTCAACATCTTTTTTATATCGTGGTGACTAAAACTGGATGCAGGATTCCAAGTGTGGCCTTACCAAGGCATTAGAAAGTAGTATTAATACTTCACATGATTTTGATTCTATCCCTCTGTTGATGCAGCCTAGCACTGGGTTGCCTTTTTTGGCTGCTCCATTAGATCAATGGCAGACCCCAGTAAAATTAATTATCAGTGACATTTTAGGGACATTCATTTCATAACAACTGAAATTTAGGCAATCCATGTTCGTGAGAATTAAGAGACCTATTCTCTGTTTCGTGTCCCATACTCTCAAAAACAAATTCAGGAACTCGTTTTAGCTTAGAGGGTCATCCATAAAGCAACAGATTCCCATTTCAATAATATGGCAAACTGTAGATAAAATTTAAACTGCTACCTTAAAGTGAGACTACACCCAAGGGAAGAGCTGCCTCAAACCCTGGTCTGGAAAAATCCTTGAATGGACACATGGTGAGAGAAAGTAGGAAAAAGAAAGTGACCCCAAAAGCCTCATGCTTTTGCTTAAACGTGTCTTGAATTAAGGCAAATTAAAGAGAGAATAAATGCAGTGTGGGACAGCTTCTGTGAAAGAAAGAACATTACAATATAATTCCACCAATGTTTCATGGATTTCCATATAGCTACGGGCAGACGTGGCTGCTGCCGGTTCGGGCGAACTGGTAGTTCCACCCACCGGCTGGGTCCCCCCACCTGCCCTGGTGCTATCCCATCCTATATATCTCACCCTCTGGCTATCTCGCTCTACTCACTGCAGCTGCCTGGGAAGGTGTGCTGGAAGTTGCGAGCATGAAATTGCAGTGTGTTTGAAGCCGCATGCACTCAAATTTTGGTTCTGCACTAGGTGAACTGGTTGTTAAATTATGTGAAGCCCATGTCTGGCTACAGGCCTATAGCTCATTTTGTTTCCCATTTTCTGTGCAGTTCTGGGAATATTTTTATTTTGCACTTTTTTTAAATCTGCGCTTACAGAAGGGGACTCAAAAATACAGAAATACTACCAGACATCTGAAAGTCAACAGAAACATACGCAGAATGGGTCTGTTTGTATGATCTCCGTTCTGGACATAATCATATATCCATCAGTGCAACAATAATGAAGGATACCATTTTCCAGGGGCTGGATAATCTCATCTTCTAAAACTATTGATACAGTTGTACCTGATCTCACAATGAAGGAGCAGTGCCAACCAAAACATTTCCAGGTCATGTTTAGAGTTTATGGAAGATTATGGCTTGGGTTTTGTTTAAATAGCATAATAATTGTGAAATCTAAGCATACATAAATATCCCTCTTACAGTTGGAAATGTAAGTGTTTTAACAGACTCACCTGTGAAGAGTACGATGTCTCCAGGAAAGACGGTAAGTGATAAAAATGCTGCTGCTCTCCACAACACAACCTTCTGTCTCACTTCTGACTGATCAGCAACAACAACTGTGGCTAAGGGGACTTTGCAGGATGCGGTACTTCCCGTCTTGATTTCTTTGATATGACAAGGATGTAGCACTACAACCAAGACAGAGAACTTCCGGCTCTTCTCAACACAATCCTTGAGCAATGACAGCTGCTTCTGAGCTTTTTCAATTCCCGGGATCCTCGTTTTTTTAACTGGGCAAAGAGGAGACGATGTTAATTTGATTCTTTTGGATAGCTGCTGATCTCCAGAAGTAAAGCGAGAAGTCATCACATTATCATCAGTTTCTTGAGATCTTTCAGCATGGTGGTCTTCTGGAGGACATAACTGTCTTTTCTGTTGGGGTTTAAGGTCCTGTCCTTCGTTGTTAACAGGTGAAGACAGAGGACTACATTTTTTGAAATCTGAGTTATCTTGGCTTGAGTTATCTGAATCAAAGAGTTGAATGGAACAATCAGAGTCGGCTTCACAGTTTGTGTCAACTTTCTTTGCCGCCGTATCACCATCTTCATTTGATTTACGTAGAGGTTCTCCATCTTCTATGTCTTCCCTACAAGGTAGGGCCAATTCTACTCCTTCCCCTGCTGTAGGTTTATTTTGCATTTCATTCTGTCCTACGGCATATTGTCCTGAACAGAGAGCTACTTGACTTAAAGTCAGAATACTAAGGAATTCATTGTCTGTGGATAGGTCAAGATTTGAAGGTACATCTAGTACGCTTCTGGGTTTCGATTCATCTGCTTTTTGTGAACATCTTTTCAGATACTGACTCAGGAGTAGATTTTCACCCTGAGGTTCCGACTGAAGATAAGACAGGTTGTGATTAACTACCACACAATTTTTTAAGTCCTTCACCTCAAAAACCAAGGGAGAAGACTCAAGACTATTATCTATGATACAATTAGCATCTCCTTTGATATCCTTTTTGCTTTGTGGTGCATGGTGTTTTTTCTGGTTCCCTCTGCTTATATCACTGCAGACAGAACCACCGTCACGTGACTCACCCAGGACCTTCTTTTTATGGCTGAAGGCAACCGATGTTGCACAATCATCATTCACTGAGCCACCTCTTTTTTCAAAGTTTACTGGGAAGTGATCTTTGGAATGGACAATCAAAACTGCATCATTTGCAGTCTCATGTTCAAGAGAGCTCAAGTTTGTGATACAAAGGTTAGAAGTCTCATTGGTAAATGAAAGGTGTAATTCTCTCCATGGTTTCTCATTAGCCGAAGAATCATTCTCTTCTTTGGGGCTGCTTGGAGCAGTGGAAAGAATGGGTGCGCCAAAGAAGAGGTGAATTTGAGGTCTTCTGGACATTTTGTTTTCCTTGCAGGGTTTGGGTTGTTGGGAAAATATATCATGGGATGTACACAACAGTTCATTTTATAGTGCCTAAAACATAACCTTTACTCATTCATAGATTTTCAAACAATTCATTCAAGGATTGTGTGCTAATCTGTCATAAAATATTCAAGAAACTAATTCCATCCATGGAGGTTTGGGGAAATGTACAATAATAAATATTCATAAAAATACTCAAAATTGATTTCATCAATGGATAAAAACATTGAATTTAGTCCTCTTGGAGTTCCTGTTTTCTTTAATTCAAAATTAATTTTATCTTATACTTTATATTTTCCTTTTTGTTCTTTAATTTACTGTCAAAAGCTCCTCCTAAAATATTGACCTTCATCAAAATGGACAAAGAAAAAGGGGAGATTTTTTCAAAAGTAGATACGATGATACACTGAAACACTGTTGTTTTTAAAAATGGTAAAATATCCAATTTTGTTCATGAAGTGAGATAGACCATTGTTCACCTTCCTGGAATCTTCAAGCGTGTTACATCACAAAGCGCAGAAAGTTGATTTCTTGCATCAGCAATTTTTGAATATTATGGCAAAATATACGTTGGTAGAGTTTGGGAGTCAGGAATCCAATGTCTCTGATAGAAATCTCAAAGGTTTTGTTCTATTGGAAAGAATTGAAAAACATACAAAAGCCTATTAAGCATTTTAATAACAATCTCCAGTTGTCTTCAAAAATCAGAGTTCGGTACATATATCTTTTCCAATATAGGCAAAAATGTTGAATGTTGGTGCTTATCTGACCATTAGAGGTCACTATGTCTTCAGAAATCTCCATGAGATGTGCATGCATATTTTTTATACTTAATCCAGTTGTGCTGTTGCAGAAAATTACAGCATCATCCAACCATAATGAAGAACTTATCACTTATCTCTTATCTCCAATTTCAAGAGTTAAATACGAAGCTTATATTTCCAATGTAAAGCATGAAGATATACTGTATTTTTCGGAGTATAAGATGCACCTTCCACCCCAAAAGAGTGTGGAAATGTTGGTGCGTCTTATACATCGAATACAGCTATTTTTAGTCTCCTGAAGTCCCGCCTCTGCATCCCATTCCCAAGGGTCGTGTTGGGGGCTGAGAGAAGGCAAAAACATTTCTTTCTTACTTACCTCTTTGAAATTCTGGTATGTCTTATACACCGGTGCATCTTACAGTCCGAAAAATACGGTAAGTCCTCTGAAGGTAATTTGAATCATAATCATTATTTCAAGTAAAATGTCCTGAACTTTGGACTTCGGAAGCACATTTTTTTTTCATTCTGCTTTTGTAAAAAGCATTTATATAATATAAAAAGTAAAAAAATTGGAAAAAAATATTTCCAGAAATAATGGTATTTTTTTATGTTCACGCTACAAAATTGCATACAAATAAAAAAACATTTAAGGATTTCCAGTAGGCCTTTCTTAAAACTGCTTATAGCGGGGGGGGGGGGGTCAAAGTCGATTTCATTGAGGGCTGCATAAGGGTTGACCTCGGGAGGAGAAGCAGGAGTGGGGGCATTTTCAGTTCAACATCACTTGTGTTGGGGGCGCCTGTGCTGGCCCGAGTGCTCTGCCAACAAAAACGGGCTCCCAAGCTTTGTTTTCGGCTGTGATGACATGTAACCCTCTGGTCACAAAAACGGAGCTCAGTAGGGCAGCCCTCCTGACCTCCATTTTTACCGGCAGAGGCACAGCGAACCGGTCCATCACTGTTTCCAAGGCAGCCCTGCGGGCTAGATCCAGCCCCCGGGCCTTGAGTTTGACACCCCTGGATTATAGTCATTAAATAAATGCAGCTGAAAAAGATGAAGAGCACAATACTGGGAACTTTCCTTTGTGTTGTTTGCACGGGAAAATCTCAGAGTCAGCTTACGCTACTTCTGTAAGCGTTTAAGCTTCGGTAAGGCAAAACATCTTTGCTAGATGACTGAGTGGGATGGTTGTCAATTGATCCCTAGACTCAAAGGTGCTTTTCCAAAAGGCAATTGGACTTTGTTTTTTTTCCCCTTGAAAATGTTTCTCTTCTCATCCAAGAAGCTTCTTTGGATGACAAGTGAAACTTTTTCAAGGAAATAACAAGAAAGTACAGTAAGAAGCTAGAAGATAAGAACCGAAGAAGACCTATACAGAAACCCACAGGTCCCAACGAAGACCATCTGCTGGCAACATTGGTTAGTTACAAGCCATCTCAGACAAAATTCTGAAAACCTCCTTCCCTATGCTGTTATTATTTCCTATATATTTTATTGAGATTATCATACTGGAAAATGAAAATAAAGGTAGTAGGGAAGCAGAGAATGGAAAGAAAAGGAAAAGAAAGGTATAGGATAACAGAGAAGAAAAAATAGTATTGACTTCTGTCAGAGTGTGCACAGGTCTATCATGTGTATCAACCCAGAAACAAGTACAGTCAACAGTGGTTTATATCAAAGAGTGGTTTTCTACAATAGGAAATTAGGAATACTATACTTACACGTGCTACAAGCAGTATCTAAACAAACAGCAATTATAGCAGGGAAGAAACTTGATGAACTGACGAACCCATCAGTAGGGCCTCGTCTTATTACACAGGCTCTTAAAAGGATAACAGCCAAAGACCCTGCTGACTCATTCCCCTCATTGCATCAGCTGGTGAGCTCTTAAATTTTCACCTTGAAAACTTCCAACCTTTTTCATTGCAATAAAGTACAATATGAAATTGCTACAAACATTTGTAGATTACCAAACCAAATAAACCAAGGATAGAATTAAGAGATGAGAATTCAAGAATCCAGAAAAGGGGAAAAAATTGAGAAACTCTTTCAGTTCAATGAAGAATAGTTTCAACTAACAATTTGAATGCTTAAATAAAATCTGCAGGAGTTGTCAGTTTGAGCTCAAACATTTTTATTCTGTATTATAATTCTGGGGAAATTCCATAAACAGTTATGTCTCAGTAGTAGCCAAGCAGAGATTAAAGGTTATGCTATGTTTAACGAGAGGCATGATGAAATTTTAGGCAGTGGCCTACTATCAGCAAGATGGAATTTGCTATCTGTTGGGAGAGTTCAAAAGTAAAAAAAGGAATAACAAAAGTAAATATTTCAAGCAAAAAAAAAATTGAAATCCACTCCATCCTTGTTCGTAAATAAATTACATTTACTAGTAAAAAGGGGATATTCTATTTTATATTTGTAACTTTGTAAGGGTCAACATTTCAAAATGCTCAGTTAATATGTATGTATGTATGTATGTATGTATTTATTTATTTAATTATTTTATTGGAACTGTTGGAAATCTTGAGATTGTTCAGCAGAAGCAATCAGAGGAAGTTGTAGGCACTCCATTGCTGGAGGTTTTCAAGAAAAGATTATCTGGGATATAGTAAGGACTCCTGCCCTGGGCAAATGATTGGATTAGATCAGGGGTCACCAACCTTTCGGACCTCAGAAACCACTAAATTCATTATAATTTTAAATCCCACAGACCACAAATATGATTTTTTTAAAACAATAAATATTTAGTGCAATATAAAAATGCAAATAATTTTTCTGCCGACCACAAAATTTTTCTCGTGGACCACCAATTGGTGACCGCTGCTCTAGAAGACACAGATGCCAGACCAAGTGCGGCCATTCTGAACTGAAACTTCCCTTCTGCTGGTTTAAAAATCAGAATTTTGAAAGAATATAATGTATTTTTATTCCTCCAAATGTCCTTTGATAAAATGCTCTCCCAACAACTGGGTGACGTTCACTCCACCTGTCAACTTGACCTGCAACTTCTCAAAAATCTGCAATTAACCTCATTCTTCAACAGCACATTCTACTGAAGGCCTCAGTATCTCTTGAGGGTCATAATGCTGATGGTGGAGCAGAATATGTGCCCAAACTCTACTTCCAGTAAACTCGGAAGAGGAGAAGGAGGAAGAGGGAGGAGGAGGAAGAGGAGGAGGAGAAGGAAGAGGAGGAGGAGGAAGGAGAGGAGGAGAAGGAGGAGGGGGAGGAGGAGAATGATTGCTGAAGTATTCTTTTGCTTTGCAAACAGCAGACAAACCAGAACAATGTTGGGTGAAACAGGCCAGGACAGACCATAGGCCAGACTAGATGAAGAAAGGGGAGAAATTAGGAGGGGCATGTTCCCATTGCATAAGGAGGCAACAGAGACACAAAGACTGGAGACCACCCAAGTCACTTCTATGCAGATCCTCAACTGCATAATGATCAAAATCAGTAGGATGGTTTCTGACTCGGCTAAGGTTTTTAGTTTGGTCTTGCAAAGGAAGGCGTGGAGCAATTGTCTGCCCTGGCCCTACCTGGCCTCCAGCTCCCAATCATGCGTGGCCAAAAAAAAGGTGGCCTCTAACCTGGTTTGATCACCATACTTGGGAAGCCTCCATCCTCCAGGGAGGAGTTGATGGCTTTGCTGCCGTGAGCCAAGAAGGACAAGGGTTGAGCAAGCAACACGGCAGCGTTGGTCAAACAATTTGCTCAAGTTTTTAGATAAAATCAATAAAAAGAAATCTGGATAATTGCAGCCACGAGAGGCCTAACCTGGGTTTCATCACATACATCCTTGTTGGTCATTTCATCCCTAGGCAGGGATTATTTGCCTAGTCACTTCTATAGACCATAAGCACATACAGTACTCCTGGATAAAGAGTAGGCTGGAGGTCAAAGTAGATACGCAATTGAGAGTAGCCAGAGGAAACCACCTTTCATACAAAGGGCTGACCAGTACCCATGACCCACCACCATTAATCTGAAAGCCCAATTGCCTTCTGGGGGATTTTATGGATTAATTTATTAACTAATATCCTGCCTTTTGACTCAGGTCTAACTGGGCAAGATTGGTTTAGTGAACCCCAAAAGTATACTTGACAATAAATATGCCATATGGCATACCTGGGGAAAGTTATTGTTAATATTAAAATAATGTTTTTTCAATAGCCAAGTCAGGAGAGATTTTGGGGGGATATAATGGCATTTGAGGTACCATCCTGTTGGTTTTGGTGTTCTTCAGTTCCTTGTGAATTTGTGCCTATGTCTGTGAAATCTTGGGACTTGCCTATCATCATTTCTTCTTCTTCTTCTTCTTCTTCTTCTTCTTCTTCTTCTTCTTCTTCTTCTTCTTCTTCTTCTTCTTCTTCTTCTTCTTCTTTCTTCTTCTTCCTCCTCCTCCTCCTCTTCTTCTTCTTCCTCTTCTTCGCACTTGGCCAAGAAAGAATTATATCCTCCTTCTTCTTCCCCTCCCTCTTCTTCTTCTTCTCCTCCTCACCACCTCCTTCTTCTCCCTCCCTTCTTCTTCCTCTTCCTTCCCCCTCCCCTCCTCTTTATTCTTCCTCCCACTCCTCCTCCTTCCCCTCCCTCTTCTTCTTCTTCCCCTTCCTCCTTCTGCTCCTCCCTCCTCCTGTTTTTTGATTCTAATTGCCAGTGTAGCCTATAGTCTTGGCATGTCTTGGGGTAGTGGTGTCTCCCATCAATTCCAATTAAATCTTCCCCTGCTTTGGTTTTAGACTATGCTACAGCCAATACTGTCAAGTGTTGAGAATCCCCTTGGTTCAACGTTTCTGCATCTCCCTGGTAGCTTAATGGTCACCTGAAATTCTAACTTACATTCTGATCGTGCAATAAAGTTTT